ATATATTTTAGTGTGAGTGATACTGTTACTATTTGCTATTGTCAGACACATTATTATCCAAATGACTCAACCAATTATATTTGGGTTTTAGTAACTGTGCTTTAATATGAAGGAATTAAATTGTAATCTTACAACAGTCTTAATAATTACCTAATTCCCTTTTACTATTTATTTCAAATATTGGAGTGCTATCTGGTAGTGACATCTAACACTTTCAACTGAACCTTAGTTAAGTGTCTCACACTAATAGGAATATTCCTGTTCGGCTTTGAACAACTGTATCATCTACAAACATGGGGAGATTAATTTTCTAATCAAAACATTCTGGGAAACTATTAAGCATGACATTAACCTGTGTTATATTAATTACACTTACCATGAAGAATTTCTATCTGGACTTAACAGCATAAGGCCCTGGAGAAAACTTACCAGGGTACAAATTCCTTAAATGTGTTTTAAGAACTACATACCCATATGATAATTTTGCTTTTCATACTTACTTTAAATCAACTCTCTTCTCCACAGCCATTCATTATGGTGGCACAATCTTGTTGGCATTGTTAGATTTTTTTAAAAGGTATTAAAACCTGTGTGAGTGTATAATATGGCAAAGGAAGTAGCCAGGTCTATTGGGAGCATTTGTCCAAAATTAACATTTGTTTCTTACAAGAATACTTCCTTCATTGAAGAAAAAGATGTAACTGAACAAAAGTAACTGTGATACATCAAGGAGAAAAAAAAATCATTTTGCAAAGGTCAGAAAACATTTTTCCATAAAGAGCCAGATAGTAAACATTTTAAGCTTTGTAGGCCGTATGGTCTCTGTTGCATTTACTCTACCATACAGTTGAAGAAAAACAGCTACAGACAATATGCAAAAAAGTGGACATAGCTGTTTTTCAATAACATTTTCTTTACAAAAAATAGACAGCAAATCAATACCATAATGGGATGCCACTTCATACCCACTAGCATGGCTAGATTTAAAATGTTAGAAAAAAATTGTTGGCAAGAATTGTTGAAATTGGAACACCCTTTTCATATTGGTGGGAATGTAAAATGTTGCAGTGTTGCAGCCACTTTGGAAAAGTCTGGCAGTTTCCTCAAACATAGAGTTACCTTATGACTCTGTAATTTCTTTCCTGTGCATATATCCAAGAGAAATAAAGTTATGTCCATACAAAAACTTGTACATGAATATCTATAGCAGCATGACATAATAGCCAAGAGGTAGAAACAACCCAAATGTCCATCAGGAGATGAATGGATAAACAAAAATATGGTATAACCGCACAATGGAATATTCCTCAGCTCTTCAGGGGTATTTAGTAGTGCTTTGGGAACTTTTGGGGGACATCTAGCGGTTAAAGGTCAGGAATGGTGCTAACCATCCTGCAACCCATAGGACAACCAGCCTGACCACTAATAAAGAATTGTGTCAATAGTGATGAGATTTGAGACTGTACACTATATATACAGTATGACTATGTTAGTGATCATTCTGTGCATGTAATTCTCTTTTTTCCCAATCTTCGTTATGTTGTAAAACAGCTGCAGTTTAAATCTAACTAGACAAACGTTGGAAAGCGTGGCAGAAGCCAAGCCTCAAATCCACCAGGACCCGCAACACTATTGTATTTTGCCATTCAAGGTTTGAAATGAAGGTGCAAAACTGATGGTGGTCCGATAATTACTCTAATACCCTGTCATTAAGAACGAAGTGCTGTAGAATTTGTGCACAGTGAGGTATGCCTTTGCTGCAATCAAGTGGTGAATAATGGGGAAAGTGATAAAATTAAATAAATAAGGTTTTGAATTAGGCTTGTAATTAAATGGTTCTTGTTTTAATCCACTGACCTCTTGGAAAGCATTAACAGCAGAGAACTGAATTTGTAGTTCTTTTGAAGAACTACACGTTTGTAGGAAGAATTTCAGAAAGAGGGAAATGTAGTGGTTTTCCTTGTTTCCTAGCTGTCTGTCTCTGTGTTACTTTCAGAGAGAGAAGGTAAATGCACATGAGAAGAAAGAATGAAAGAAAATGGAAACCAAGGTGGAGGGGAGGGAACAGATTTTATTATTCAAAATTTAAAATAAAAATTAAAGTCATCCTAAAAGAACATTTATCATTTTAGGTTTCCTTATGTCAACTTAATAGCTCATTGTGGTCTCAATGCCTGTAAAACTAAAATTTTCTGGAGGAATAGAAAGAGTTAAGGGAGCTGTTTCTAAAGTTCCTAAATTTCTGTTCATTTGTATATTTAAAAAAAATTTGATATGAAAATTTCCAATAAAAAGAAAATTGGAGAAAATAATGAAATAGACATAAACATACCCACCACTAAGATTAAATAAGTGTTAACATTTTGCAAGATTTACTTCAACTCTTTTTAATAAATAAAACATGTACAGAATACTTTAGCTCTGTTGTGTCAGCTTTAATTCCTTGCCCCTTCCTCCTTTCCTCTCTGGAAGTAGGGAAAGTTGTGTATATTTCCCTTGTGTCTTTGCAGTGTTATTACACACACACACACACACACACACACACACACACACACACACACACACAATCTGTGTCTGTGAATACGTAAGTATATAAATGTATTTTGCCACATGATTTTCTCTTTATTTTTGAGATTTATTCACATGTAGGCTTATTAATTTTAAGTGTGGTATAGGATTCTACTGTACATCCACCTGCAGAATGACTGAAAAGTTTACCCTTGCTGTTACAAAGTGTTCAAGAAATATCTTTATATGGGTATCTTTGGACTTTTCTGGGGAGACATCTAGACAAGGCATAGCTGAGTGATAGGTACATGTACTTTGACACTTACTGGGTATTACCAAGTTGCTGCCCAAAGTGGCTGTATCGGTTTTGTACTCCCATCAACTATGCAGGAATCCCTACATCTTGGCCAAAACTAGGTGACATGGGACTTTGTAATATTTGCCAATCTGATGAAAGTAAAATGGTATGTCATAAAATTGTTGGTCATAAAAGAAACTGGGAATAATCTGTCCATTCTCTCAGCTTTTTACAACTTCCTCTCTTGCATAGTCCTTCAGAGTAAACCTTCACAAGGATTGCATTAGTAATTGTCTGGATGTTGAGACTGAACAGAAGGATAAAGGAAGAAAACATATTCCTGGATCCCAGGTTTGTCCAGGCCTGCCTTTGCCTTTTGTCTTATTCAAGTATGTCCCAGCCTTGTGCAAGGTGACATTTCCAAAATTGCTGACTCAGTGAGGTAGAGCATTTCCTTCTAACTGGGGCATCAGAATGAGGGACAGTGTACCTTGTTTTGAGATTTAAATAATAAGCATATACTCAATGTACTTAAAAAAAATGTAAAACTTAGCTATTATTTTCATAGGCGGATTGCAGTTCCAAAGGATTTCTATGAGAAAAATTTCAGAGTGCTTTATGTGAAGCTTGATAATTAATTATAATACTTCTGTTTATTTCTATTTACTAACTTCTACATGCCAAGGGCATGAGAAAGAAAAGAGCAGCTCTTGACATCAGGAAATTAGTTTGACACTTACAGCTGGCTCTCAGTGTTTTTAGAAGCTAGCCTGACACTCACAGCTAGGCCACAATGTTTTCCTCATGGAAATAACTCTCACAGAACACCAATATCAGATAAGGTCATCTTGTGACTGTGTTGAAGTGAGACAAAATAAGAACACTTCTAATTTTGTGTAAGCACAGACATCAACAAGGTCAGTGTATAAATCACAAAATACCAAACCCCTGCCTCTTCCCCATACTATGAATGCCGCTTCATGTCAGTTACAGCTTTAGTTTCATTCTTTAGCCTGCCATTCTTCTAGACAAAATTTATTACAATACCCAATCACTGAACTGTCCCAAATTTCTGAAATCCAGAGCAACCCTCCCCACTTTACTTCTGAAGAGTCTTCCCAAATCACCAAACCAAAGTCCAGATCCTTTAAGCCCTAACTCTCTCTTTTAACAACCCCATGGTTCTCCACAGTGCACGTTCTCATTCCCTAGGAGTATAAACACCACTCGTGCATCTACAGGTGTTCTTCCTGGTGGTCTTTGATGAAAAGGGCTTTCACAGATACTGCTAAGAGCTTTACTTATGCAATCTCACTTCAGCCTGATAGTACTCCTGTTAGTCAGCTATTATACTTATTATCCCCTTTTGCAGATGGAAAGGCAAAGAAAGTTTAACATCCTCTCCAAAATCACATGATGAGAATGATGGGGAATAAATTTGCATCTGGGTCTAATGGTTATCAAGATGTAAGAATTACTTGTAGTTCTACTAACCTTGCTCTTCTCCAGGACTTTCCCCTAAAGACTGCATGGTTTTTGAGGACACAGACTGGCACAAAAAGTCTGGTACAGTGCAAACAAAAAAACTTAAAAAATTCCAAAACTCTACCGTGAAGACTACTAACTCCATGCTAATCTGCACATACTGGTGCAGTTGTTTCTTGCACATGTTTAACAGTCTTGGTCCAAAACACCTCAATGTAGTTAAAGATGGACAATTTAAGGATATATTTCACAGGAAAAGATGACTTTTAAAGGGTGTAAGTCCGGGGAGAGGAAATCCTGGGGCAAAATACCTCTAAAACTGAAATCAGTCATAAGAAGAAATAAAGTTTAAAATCCGTTTATTGCTTACAAACTGCAGGCCAAGGCCATCTCTGCTTCTTACTCAGGCAGAAGCAAAACCAGCCCTCCCCCTAAGCCCTCCTTTGACCAGGCAATTACCCACTGATATGGGGATGAACATCTCTTCACCCTTGAGGGGCGCCTGTTGATATGCAAATGAATCCATACTTCTCTCCACCCCTGAACACCTGTTGATATGCACATGTACTAAAGTCAGCCGAGATATTCTGGAAATTCTACAATTTTACCCACAAAGGGGAAAAAAGTACACTGATGTGTCGGAAAACTGCTCTAGACTTGGAACTTGACTTTGGATATACACAACAAACTCTTTTGCGTGATTCCTGCTCAAGGCTCTTCATTATACACCCTTCAGTTTTTTCAACTCTAATGCTCCTGACCCCTCAGAACCTTTGCATTCTTCCTTTTGCCTGTCCAGATCCGCTCCTTTAGATTATCTTCCCTCTTTGTTCTCAGTGAACTTTTAAAATGATCTTTATAATATTTACGTTATTTTGTTATTTGTGTTTCAGAGTTTGTGAGCTCCTTAAGGACGTGGTTCCGCGCAGACTTTTGCTGGACACCTCTGCCACCTCCGCGCTGGCCCTCAGCCCTTAGTCCCTGAGCCGCCTCTCAGTAAGTGTGTGGCGAACGCATCCTTCTCAAGCGTTGTGGCTACCGCGGTTCTTTGCTGCCGAGGACCCGTCCGGTGGCCATGCACTGGGGCCTGCCGGCCTGGCAAAGAGAGGGTGAGCAGATGGTTTCACATGCCAGCGCTGCTCAAATGGTGCAGAGCGGGTCTCTCCTGCCTTCCAGGTTAACAGGAACCCGTTCTCCTAATTCCAATAATCCCAGACCATTCTTCCTGGTAAATCCTCTGCGCGTTCCCAAACCGGCTCCCACCTGTGCCTTTAAGGTGAGGGTAGGGAAGGCCAGAACTGGGGGAACGAACCGGAGACACAGCCAATCATGTCTTGTTTTGCCAGGAAGGGGCGGATCCTGGGTGTGTCCTCGGCCAAGCCGCGCCGGATTGGAGGGTCCCGGGCTGCGCGCCGTGGCGGGAGTTTTCGGATGTGTTGGCTACGGCCTTGCTAGCAGCGGTTGGGCTGAGCCAGCCGGCGGCGTGGGCGGGCGGCGGAACCTGGCAGGGGAGTCCATCCTGAGTTCCCCACCAGTGACTTGCTGGGCGACCACCTTCTTTCCGTCTCGAGCTGGGGAAGGATGGATCGGCACCGGCCGCGGCTGCACCACCCAATGCAGGGCTCCGCCGCCGGGACCCCCTACCCCTCCGCCGCGTCGCTCCGCAGCTGCCGGGAGAGCAAGGTGCACCGCAGGAAGGGCCCGCAGCTCCCTCCGCTGCCCAGCGGCACGGAGGAGCCTGGAGAGAAACGCCCCAAGTTTGTAAGTTTCGCTTGGAGCTGGGGTGGGCAGCCCCCGCGCTGCAGACTGGCTGGGGCTCAATCCTGGGATACTTGAATATCATTAAACTCCTAATTGGCCAACAGGCATGGGTGGGTCCGCAGGACCTGGGGGCTAAATTTTGGTCTAGATTTGCGAAGCTGCCAGTCTCTTTATAGATTTACAACGACAGGGTCCAATTCTATTCGGGTCCTCTGACAAATATCCTGATCACTGATCAGTGTTGCCCAAATTTCTTAAGGCTGACCTGGTAAGTATTTCGAATGTGTTGACGTCACCTAGGTGGACACTGCATTTTTTTTAAGTCGAATTCCTCCCCACCCTCGCCTAGCGTCTGAGCGTATAAGGCATATCAAAGTGAGTTTTTAGGTGACAGTATTTCTTTTTCTGCTTGATCTTTAATCCATGAGGAACTTTTTAAGGTAGATAACGTTTTCCAAGTGGAAACGGCTTGTTTTAAAACTTGGCGGGCCATGTGTCACTGCTAAAGAATGTTCTGTTTGGGTTGGAAAGAAGTCTAAGTATTTGAAACTATTCTGGTTGCTTCTCTTGCTTACTTTAACACTCAAGAAAAGTGTCACACTTAGTGCCTTGTAAATCTTTTCTGTTGGTGTGAACTAGTGAAAGAATAGGCAGTAATGATTTTGTTGTGTACTTTGTGTAAATAAATTACATAGAGGTTTGATTGATTTGGGGTGAGTCCAGCAGAATTGAAAATTTAATACTGATCCCTCCATTTTACTTGAGTATGGAAAACATTTTTTTAGTCAGAGGTGAAATTTTACAGTACAGCATGTACTTTCTCTGAACAAACAAAAATTGTTAGAAATTTAAGTCAGGGTACCCAGATTAAGGGCATAAAGACTTGTGGATGAGGAGTGAGTTGCTAAGTGTGACAGTTAGTTAAAAATGATAGTTGAATAAAACTGGAAGCAGAACTATGAGATGTAACAGAATACTGAAAATGAGGGACAACATGGATTAATTATGCAAAGTTAAGTATTAAGATGGCCAGAGGAATGGTGAAATTTTGCAGGAGGATCAGATATGTTGTTGACTGTTGTATTGACAGAGCTGAGGAATGAATAGAATGGGGTTAAATTGGCAAAGAAAGGTTCTACCCGATATGATAAGAATACGCTGGGGTATAGTGACTTTTCGCTTTACAGTCTACTCTCTGGGTTAATAATGTTGTTTCATTTTTGTCTCTGATGCCTGTGCTCCAGAATACTTGAGGTATGACTTTCTAACTCATTCCAGCAAGGAGGTCATGAAAACAGAGCCTAAATTATATTTAGGTTAGTTTCATTTGAAGGATGTAGCAGGTGATTTGGGCTCAAGTCTCTGTGCTGTTTTTCATTTCTTAGGTATCTTAAAAAGGTTACTGTAAAGATGAAAATACATCTAAAAGACAATACTTTTAAGTGTAAAAACTAACACATCTAAAATATTGTGTTGTTTTTAGATAGGGGTCTGATTTGAATCATGACTTCATATTTAATTTAGAAGTAATTTAGACCCTATGTAATCTCTGAAACTAATTTATATTCATGCCAGCTTGGGAATTTCTTTAGACATATTTTCCATTTCACTTATTCTGTCATCAGCTATATCTGATCTGCCATTTATTCTGAGTCTTTGAGTTCAACAATTAATAAAGAAGTTTCTGCAAGTTCTTTTTCAAGTCTGCCTGGGTATTCCTGATAGTTCCTTGTTTCCTCATTCTCTTATTTCTTTAGGCATTTCCTACTTGCCTCTTCTTATTTGACAGTTCAGGTATGTGCAATCTTTGGACTGTCATTCAGTCTCTCTCATGGTGGTTTGCTCTCTTCCCCTGTGCTTGTTGATCTTTGTAAACTCATTGCTCCTGACCTGTCTTTCGGGAGACCTACCTGGGGATGCTTTTCTCTGGAGACTATTTGAGTCTGTTTCTGCCAGAAGCCTGGGTGTGCTGCTTATTTGGTACCACCTGCTTATTGAAATAGGACTCTCTGAGGACTTGGAGTTCCAGGTTCATTTCAAACTTTCTTCCTGGCCCAAGGCTCAGTATCCTAATCCCCAAATTGCCTTCTGAGCTGCTCTTCCCAAGCAGTCTATTTCTTACTGTTCTCAGTTCCGCTTTAGTAACTCTTGTTTCTGGGGTGGAGAGTGATCTTTGAATCCTCACGAAATCTCAGAAATGCCTCAAAAAGTGATTGTTCTGTAGTTCACTTTGCTGTACTGATGGAGTCGGGTTGGTTCTTGGCTTTCTCTTGATTGGATGTGAGGTGGTGTCAGCCTAAATCTCTTCAGGTCACCCGCTCATTATGTCACCTAGTCGCTTTTGACTGGTCCCAGTAGTGTGGACTGCTGACGTCACAGGAGAAGGTATAGTTTAGGTGTTTGATGTTTTGCACATTCTACAAAGCTGCAAGCTGGTAGAACTGAGGGGTAAACAGGCCATTTGCTCCTGTCCTTTGTTGATTTAAGAGGGCAGGAGTTTCTAGTGCCCACTGAAATCCTGTTTAGTAATTATTTTGAACTGAAACAAAGAGGACAAATCCTTGTTTTCCACTGAATGTAGAGTGTGGGCTTCAAGTTACTTTTGAATTGTGAATAAAAGTTGGTAGTATAGAACCTCCTGCATAGAAGTGTGTAAGTAGTAGATATTAGTGTACTCTAAATATATGGTAGTTTGCACAGTGAATCAACTGCTTTGGGGGGACCGGATGCAACTGGAGGGGACTGGGAGCACTGACAGGTACCTGGGTGAAGACTTTGTGCAGGTAGATAGAATTCAGTAGGATCATTAAACTTGGGACCTGCCCTAGGTCACACCCCCAGTCCTTGGAACCAGGTCCTATTTCCCTTCTAGAACAAAACAGTTGTCTACTCAGCATGAAAAGCCTTTCAGTAACACTGGGCACTTCATCCCTCCCTCCCACTACTCTTAGAAACACGCAGTACACACCATGGTGGCCACCAGATCCAGACTGAGCACAGAACATGTGGCTTCTGGAGAAGTCTCCATTTCTAGGATATGGGCCAGTCTTTTGAAATTGGTGATTCAAATTGGCAGAGTAGCTCCTCTTCTTTTTCATTAATAATATCCTTTAAAAAGTCTCACAGGCTTTAGTGTAAATCTTACAACGAATCTTATGGTTTCCATGTAATAGGTTGTTAGTGATTGTTTAATTATGTCATTGCAGTATCCTGTGAGCGATTGGTCACCCTGTCCAGTAACATGTTATGTCTACCATGTTTGGGTACCATTAGTAGTAACAGTTAACTTTTATGAGTGAGCCAAACACCGTTCTAGGTGCTTTATAAATATCAACTCATCTAATCCTTACAGCAACCCTAAGAGCTAGGCAGTAGTATTATTAGCCTTGTTTGCTAGATAGGTAAGCTGAGGTATGGAGGTTAAATTGCTGAAGTTCACATAGCTGCCACTTGGGGCGGCTGGGATTTGAGGCTCGGCAAGCTGTCTCCTGTGTACACATCCTTGGTCACTGCCCTGTTATTACTCTTATGTGACTGGGAGTTTTAATCTTTACTACTTTTCTCATTCATAAAACATTATCAGTAGTTAGTAATACCTTAAATGAATATGGAATTAGCGGTTTCCAGATTATAGGCAGGATGTGAAGTGGTAAGAAATATTAGGTGGGAGAACTACTGTGTGTTATACTGGGAATTTGAGTCAAGTTGAAATCAGAGTTGGCTTGGTGAGATTAGTGCATGCTCCCCTAATTGCTTTTGGTTTATTTGGAGGCAGATGTTATAGGGTAACTAATGACCACCCGAAAGGCATTCACATCTTACTTCCTAGAACTTGTAAATGTTATTTTATATGGCAAAAAAGGACTCTGCAGGTATGATTAGGTCAAGGCTTTAAAAATGGGGAGATTATCCTGGATTATCAGGGTCGGCCCTACAGGCAAACATATGTATCCTTATGAGAGGGAGGCAGAGGGAGATCTGACTGTAAGAAGAGAAGGAAGAGATTGATGTAGCCACAAGCCGAAGAATGCTGGCAGCCATCAGAAGCTGGAAGAGGCGAGGAATGGTTGGTTCTCTAGGGCTTGCAGAGGGAGAATAATACTGCTCACATCTTGATTTCAGCCCAGTGAAACTGATTTTGGACTTCTGGTCTCCCGAACTGAGAGAATACATTATCGTTTTAGCCATCAAGTTTGTTGTAATTTGTTAGGGCAGCCATAGGAAATGAACACAGCAAGTGTGGTTATGAGGGTAACCACACTGAAAGGGTTGGTATAACAGTTTATAAATGTATGCTTTGGGTGAGCCATCATATTCATTTAAATCTCTTTCTTGTGGTACCATTTTATTTTGGAAGGTTTGGGATTTGAGGGGATATTAGGTAACCACAGTTATGTCCACTGGAATAGCATCTAGAAATTTCATTTATCTTGCTTCGCTGCAGCATTTTCATAGTTGCTTGAAAGCTGAGAAAAGGTGGAGATGATCTTTGTGTGCTCTTTTTTGAATTTATTTCTTCAGTAAGTCTTCAGCTAAAGACATGCTTTCAGCTGTCCCAGAGTTAAACTGTCAAGAAGTGGGGATTGTGTTCTTAGTTGAAGGCGTTAGGCACTTGAGTTTTATTCCTGTCAAAATTTCATCTAACCCATCAGACACTGAAAGCTTTGTAATGTAAAATCATTTTATTCAGGCCAGTATTTAAATAAATTGCTCTGAATTGACCCAGACTTTCTTTCCTTTCTATTCTTCCTAACAGAGAAAGTAAGTTTTTTGCTTGTTTGTTAATATATGATTTATCAAAAGAAAGAAAATAATCAAGTGGCTTTTGGGGAGTACATTTAGCTGCTGAAAATAGATGATATATAGTATTTATTACTTCTGGGTCACTGTGGATCTTCTCTTCTTAGATAGAAAGGGGTGGGAATAGGAATGATTGTCTCAGATTTAGAGCAAGGCTTAATTGCTTTTTTCAGAGACTCATGTCTTTAATTATGAAGCAA